CGTCTCCGCTGCTCAGAGATCGGTTATCCAGCAGCAGCTCGCTGTTGATGGATGAGGTAAAAAAAAAAACCAACCCAAGGGATTAAAACAAGCCTCTGTTTGCTGTTGCTCGCCAGCTTCCCCACACACGCTGGGGGGTTTGTTGCTTTATCCTCCTGCGATAGGTAAGCGCGGGCTGTAGGTGTTCTCCCCCGAGCTTCGGAAAGCTCTGCACAACTCATTCTTTCTCTCCTGGTGGTCCCCTGCTTCGCTTGAGCGACTAGAGACGTTAAAAAACACGCTGGAAAAGCGATCTTGCGCCTCTGAGGGTGACTGAAAACCACGCTACCGACACTTCTTCTTCCTCAGTCACAGAGGTTTATCCATTGCTGTGCCCCCAACCCTCTGCCAGCTCTGCCTTACCTGTTACTGCCACCGGATTTTCAGTCCTCCTAAAATAAGCGGCAGGATTTTTGCCACCACACCGCACAGCAACATCAGAACTGTTTGCTAATACATGGAACTCCCCAGAAATAAAGGTAAAAAAGGGAAAGAATCAAAAATAAAGGCATAATGGCTAGCTTGAAGGACAGTCTCCTCTCCGTTAGAAGTGCAGCATTCTGTCACTCAAACACACGACTTGCTGGGGGTGAGGGTTAGTGGGATCCCCATCCAGTGCAAGCCACCAACAGCCCAGTCCTAAACGCCTCTGTGACACGAGGCCCACTGGCGCGGATCTGGACACCCGAGGGTTGTGCCAGCCACCCACCAGCGCTGTCGAGTGACTTCCCGGCAGGCGGAGAACAGAGCGGGGGAACAGACCGAGTTAGTTTGGAGAAGTTACCGCGAGAACGCAGACAGACAACAGACAGAGGCTGCTGGAAATGCTCACCAGGTCTGACCAACACGTTCAACGTCCCTGCAAGGAGGGGAGAAAGAGCTCAGAGCAGAGGAAGCAAACGGCGGCACCAAAGGGCGCTTGCACCCTGCTGAAGGCCTTGCAGCGTCGGGGCTTTGCCTCGCGAGTGCTCTCGGTGCAGACGCTGAGCAGCCTGCCGCTCATCACCGAGTTCTTTGGAAACATGCACTATGGAAATACTTGGGTTTTCTTGCGGCTGCCGTTCCCTACTGGTCTCTACCACGAACAACCAGGGCTTGGGGCGCAGCCTGAGCAGCCCAGGTGGGGCATCTGCAAGCCGAGGAAACAAAGATGCTAACGGGAAATCTGTACCCAGACCTGGGCCCCCAGGCCGCCACCTCCGGGCCTGGGGTGTCCTGCACGGGGAGACGGACGGAGGAGAGCACCGTATGCCTCCCACAAAACCCTGCTGTACGCTTCGCAAGGAGGTTTCTCCTCTGAAGCCTTCAGACGTACGCATCTGCACAGACGCGGTGGACGTGGAAGAAAAAAAACCAAAGCCCTTCAACCTGCCTCCGTTCTTCCCTGGCTCTGCTGATCTCTAGCAGCAGACTCACTGGAGCAGGACATCGAACGGAGGCAAGCCGAGAAAGATGTCTGTGATTCTCTACAACTTCAAAAAGCAATGAGGCATCAAACTGTGCTAACTGCCATTCATTCAGATGACAGTTCTTGTAATAGTTTTCTCACGTCCAGAAGTCAGGAATCGGAATTTATTTGCACCAGCAATCGGAGAGGCTCTGTCCTTAACCGGAGCATGATCTCATCACGCGGCCTCGGCCACCTGCTCATCATTAAGCCCCCGCTGCCTGCATGAGCTGCTGCAGCCTCTGCTGGCAACGCGCTTGGCCAAGAATCATCCAGAAAACTGTTATTGCCCAGTGGTGCCCCTTTCAGATCCTCCTCCAAGAGCCATTCAGTGAGAAGGGAAGAATGGTCAGAGCAGGAAAGGAGCAGCTCGGCAACCAGCAATGGGAAGAAGATGCTATTCCTGTGTTTGCAGTATTGAATTCCTGGATGCTAAGATGACTGTGGTTTTTATTATTTGCACTCTCTCCAAAAGCTGAACAGCCAGCTGCCTCCCAGCCCAGCCTGAGGAGAACAGGCAGGGTCTGTTTAGGCTGGGCTGGAGCAGATTCCAGTTTTGGCTTTTTAAATACGTACTCGGCACGAACTGGAACTGAAGAGCAGGAACCCGAGCGTGGCCGTGCCCCCTCCCGCCCTCCCGGCGCCGGTACCTGCAGTGGTGCTTCCTGCTGGCAAGCCAGAACGCGCTGTCGCAGCCGTAGCAGTGCGCGGCGAGGTGGTCTGGAAGCCATCGGGTCACCTGGCAGGAAGAAGAGCCAAGTTTGTCATGGAGAGGGCAACTGATCAGCACCAAACCCATCTCATGTGCGCTCACGAGTTCCAAGCAAGGCACCACGAGGGCAGTGCTTGTTCTAAGAGCACAGGTTCAGCGCTGGCAACAATTCAAGACAGATGACAGAAACCTTCCCTTTGAGAACAGAACACTGAATTTCCCTCAGACAAACACAAATTTGGTCATAAAATCCAATCCCCTGCTTTTTTTCTGTGCTTTCAAAGTATCCAGGCCAAGAACATTCACCAAGCAGGCGTCCACCTAAGGCTCCCTCAGCTCACCGTCCCTCACACAGCTTCTCGCAGAGCTCCTATGCAGCAAGCAGAGCGCTCATAGCCCCAGGTATTTGAAGGACGACAGACAAGCGAAATGCAAGGAAGATAGTTCACGAGCAGTGGCACGTGACCCGAGGCTGCAGGAGAACGGGAGTTACGGACCTCCCATCCTACCAGAAGCATGAGCGATGGACAGGGTTCAGTCTGTACCTCTGTGTCCTGTTTATCCACCTGCTCCCAGCTGGCTTCAGAGAAAATCTCTGTGCTGCAGCGAGACAAGCAGTTCTGATCCAGATTGCTTTCCGAGTCGGGAATAGAAGTCTGTTGGCAAACAAACACAGCTGAACAGAACCTTCCCATAGCCCTACTTCCACACCAACCAAACCCGGCCAGACATGGGGAGGAGAGGACAGGCTGCCTCCTGCTACCACAGCCCCGGCTGCGCCAGCACCGGAAGGCGACTGCCACCACCAGCCACCTCCCCAGCGCGGGCAGGGCTGCCTTCTTGGATGGGGCGATAAACGCCACACCTTGAAGTGGTTTGGGCAGCGGTGAAGGGCAAAAAATAAACCGCCACCAAGCCAAAAACCCCAGCAGGTCACTGTCTGACCCTCTGATGATAGAATGGATTTAAAATGCGCTTTCTGCTGTGTTGGCACAAAGTTCCGGCAACACTTTGGGCAATTAACCGAAGGAGCTGCTATCTGTGGCCCCAATTTCACGGTCGCATTTCCTTCCCAAGGTTGTTTCACTTTCAGAACTAATACTACTAATACATACATCCTTTTGTCAGCAAAAACTCTGGAGAATACAAGCCAAATCACACATGGGAAACTCGGAATGTGAGCCGTGCATGTGCCATACACAGGGTTTTTGGGAACAGTGCTTCCTTAATATACTCTATCCAGGCAGAGTTGTGTTTTAACTGACTTAAAACTGAGCCAGCCCTTAGAATACATTAAAACCAGCAAGAAATCCAGCGTTAATGTCCTTCTGTGCCTGAGGAATGGGCACCACTGGAGCTCCAGCAGAAAGCCTGCTACTCCCAAGGCGAGGTACCAACGGAAGGCAGAGAGCAGGTTCCTAAAAAGGGTGATTTTCACAGAATCACAGCATGGTGGGGGTTGGCAGGGCCCTCTGTGGGTCACCCAGCCC